GAAAACAATCCTAGGATACATTATAACTTAATTTGATAGAAACCAGTTTTTGCTTTTTAATTGCTTTAGCTCATGCATTTGCAATGGGGACAAAACAATTTTAGTTACCACACTCAGTATATTGATATAAGGGGACTTCAGAACAGTGGTGGAAACATGGAGCTGCGAGAACATGAACTTTCCTACCACCATTTTGAAATCTCCTCATATACAGCGTGTCTAGACAATTGTGGTATTAAGATTTCATGGGGAAGGAGTCTATGAGAAAAAAAATTCAAAGATGTTCCTTGGGAATGGGTGGGATAGAGAATATACTAATTAGCATAGCTTCTAAGCTGTTCTTCATGTTATTAAGTGTCATTGAGTCGATTCCGACTCAGAGGAACTGGTGAGCTCAAACCGCCGACCTTGACCTTGTAGTTTAGCACATTAACCTGTAGTACCACACCAAGAAGGTCTAGCCTAATTACACCAAAACTACAATCCAGACCCATGAAATCCACCTGGACAGGGTTTGCAAGGCTATACATTTTATGGGAGCAGAAAACAACCATGACTGGTGGGTTTGAACTGCCGACCTTGTAGTTAGCAGTCCAGTGTTTATTCCTACAGTGCACCTAGGCCTAATTGTTGCTGTTGTTAAGTGCCATCGAGTCGGTTCTGACCCATAGCGACCCTGTATAGGGTTTCCGAGGAGCGGCTGGGGAGCTTGAACCGCCGACCTTGCGGTTCAAAGCGCCTGCAATCCAGCGCATTAACCCACAGCGCCATCCCAGGACTCCAGGCCAAATTAGGAGCCTTGAAAAAGTGTTACCAAATAATCATCTTCAACTTGAGCTCGCTTAGCCTGGGTTCCTTGTCAGTCTGCTGGCCCCCAGAGCAGTCCCGGTTCTGGGCTGCAGTGCTTACTGCAGTCGGTGGTCCCTTCTGCCTGCTCCCACTACGACAAGCCTGCTTCAGACACTGAGATCCAGGAGAGAAAGGGGGGTGGGGTGGGGTGGGGAGAGGATAGAGACAGACACACATCAGACAGACACACACTCAATATTTCAGCTCTAAGGGTGCTGCATGCGTCCTCAGACCACAGTGGGAGTCTGCATTCTGTAACCCAACTCCATCCTTGCCAAATGCAGATTTGACACCCCCCACCCCACAGGCATAAATGATGCGAGGGTAACACTTGTGATTTCTAAATAGCTGGTGCTCTGTATTTGATCAACTTAGGGGGAAAAACTGGGAGGCTGGGGGCAACTAGACAAGTCCATGAGTGTCAAAATACTCAACAGAGGCAAATCTAGCAACCCCAGGGTTCTTAAAGGAATCACCCTTCATCGATGATCAAGATCTTGAGAGGGCATAAGGGGGTGGCCATCTCATGCAGCTGTGATGGGGCTGGGCCGAAGCAGGCCTGGAAGAAGTTGGGTCCAGTTCAGAGCTTTACCTACTAGACCCCACCCCCACTTCTACTGCATCAAGAAACAGTCCATTTCTCATTTTGGAACATGGGGATTAAAGACGTAATTTGAGAATACCATCCCCTTGCTGGGCACTCTGTAGAGATGAGCTGTACTTGTATGAACCTCTGATTTCATCAGCCTGCCTTCTGGAAGCTTAACTCTGCCCCCAACAAATGGGGTTTTTGCTCAGTCTCCTCTTGGGGCACCCCTTTTAAAGTGGTAGTCCAGATAAATAAAACTCATGCAGATTGATTGGAAAAAAAAAAACAAACCCCCAACAAAACCAAAAACCTAATTCTTACCAACACTGTCGTTTCAGCTTTGGTCCTCATTAAACCTTCTATCCCAGCTGCAAAAATGAGGGCTAAAGAGCAAAGGGCTGGTAAGTAATTCTAGGGGAGGGAAAAAAAACTAGTGGGTTCCAGAGACATGATCTTCAAACATTGGCCTTAAACATCCCCGTTCTGAATCCTGATAAACACAGATGAAAAATTGTTTTTCACAACTTGAGAAGTGAAGTTACCTAGGTACCCTGCTGACTGGGACCATGGCTACACAATTGTCCCAAGTCCCAAAACGCAGTTATAGAAGCACCTTTGCCCATCAGAAAAAAAAAAAAAGAAAAAAGACAGCAGGGTCCCATTAGGCAAATGATTAACATAGCACAGTGGGGAGGGGGGGACATCTAAATATTGGGGCACACCGTAATTTTTAACAGGCTTTATCCTCCTCATTTGGAATATTCTAAGTGGCCGGTAGTTTGTTTAGAAGGGGGCTTCAAAAAGTTCGTGGAAAAAAAATTCCACTTTCCCAGGACATTTTTTAGTGCCCCCCCCTCCCCCCAGTGGGAGCAACTAGAAAGTCTGCAGTGTGGCTGGTATTTCCTCAGCAGGCAGACCCCTGAGATCAGAGGGCAAGGGAGCCCATTGAAATGCTAACCCCAGCTCTGGCCAGAGAGACAAAGGGCCAGTTGGGAGACTTCAGGGAGCTGGGATTGCTTGGAGAACTTGCTAGAAAAGGCAGCTAAATACCAGTGTCTGCAGCAGAGAGAGGGTTTACCGACCATATAGCAGAAATTCTTCTCCTAGGGGTGGGTCCTGGGATTTTGGTGGTGTGGAACTGACTGTGTTTGTGTCCCTAAAGTCTTCACCCCTTTGGGAGTGGGTCCTGGGCCCTGTAGGGGGGAGGTGCGCCGAGCGGGGGAGGGGCAGTTCACTGTTTAGCTAAAACAAGTTACCCCCACCCCCACCCTCTTCAGCCTTGCCTAAGGAAGGGAATCTGAAAGCCAGCAAACCCTATTTTGAGTGTTTCAATGCGGGACCCTATAAAACAAGAGTCTGGGCCCAGAGGGCGGCTAGTCACTGAGAGAGGGTGCTTTTTTTTTTTTTTTTTTTTTTTAAACTTGTTTATTTACCTTTCAACAAGGCAACATGCTAATTTCTCTAGTTGAAAACCTAGGTTACCTGGGGAACCGTCCCCCCCCCCCCACCTCCTCCACAGCCTGTGAGGGTGAGGATTCCCACACTGGAAACAGACCCGCCCTCCCCCTAATCCAGCTGAAACCCTGGCTTCTGCCCTCTTCACTGGAGACATTTTAGTCGGTGCACAAGATATATCTAGGACGAACGACATGTTATCCACCAAAGGGGGCACACCAGCATTGTTTACAGTCCAGTCGGGGCCATTTCAACTGGGCAGTTTGCAGCTCAAAGGCCCGGTGCACCCCCAACCCGGGCGTCCGGAGCACTAAGGCGCTGCTACACCACCACCCGAGAAGGAGCCCTTTGCTAACCCACTGCCTTGTCAGTATCCACTAGCTTAGACCAAGAAGGCGTCCGACCATCCTTAGTCAACGCCGAAGCCCCTTATCGCTTAAGTTCTTTCTGATGCCTTTCCTGGGAAGGGTCCTGGAAGAGACACCATTTTAAAGTTGTTTTTTTTCTTTCTAGACTCATCCTTTGCTTAGGAGTGTAAGAACCCGACCCATCTTTCAAACCCTCAAAACCGCGTCACATTTCCCCCCAATCTTTCTCATCAGAATCGAACAGCTCAAACCCGCGCGCAAAACATGAGAACCGCGCGCACCAATTTCCAAATCGGGAAAGGTTTTGCAAATACATTTTACTTCTCTTTCTCTTCCTCCCTGCTTTCCCCCCCCCCCCGGGAGTGGCGAGGGTGGCACGCGTTCTGCGTGGAAGGTTGGCTAACTGCTTGTGGCGGGTTTTGCGTTCAGTCCTCATGGTACTTTTCCCTCCAGGTTACAGATTCCAAAGTTAGCTCCATTCGAGCTGAAAATGGCCGGTGCGCCGCCTCCCCTCCCGGAGACTGCCTTAGCCAACGGCCCCTGCCCCCTCTCGGACGACCGCCCAAGGACATGCGTCGCATCCAGAACCTTTCCCCAGCTCGGCGGGTACCTTGTTTTTTGGGGGGCGCACGGTAGGGATTCTTGGCAGAGAGACACAACCCCCTCTCCAGCCTGTTCCTTATTCCTCTTTTTAACCTTCTGCCCACCACCATCTCGCCGGTGTCTCAGCCCTTCTCTTCCGCCCCCAGGGCCTTGCGCAAACTGCTCGGGACCACTCCCGCTTAACTGTAACCAGCCCCACCGCCTGACCAGCTACGCCAAAAGTCTAGAGATGCCCCGACGTGACCAAATTCACGTCGCCAAACCTGGTAGCCTGTAGGGGCACCTCCCAAGGCCCGCGTACCTCCTCTGCCAGTTCTTCATGTACGGGCGGCTCGTTGGGGGCTGCCGGAGAGGTCGGCTCTGGGGCGCACGAGCAGGTGCGCACGCTCTCTGGCAGCCGGCCGCCTTGGCGTTCAGGCAGGCGGCGACCAAGACTGGCGCGCAGCCGCGGGGGCATAGGCGCCGAGGTCCGTCTGCCGCAAACTGGCAGCGCCGGGACCTGGGCTCTGGGAGCCGAGCCTCTTTAAGTGCGGCGCGCGTGAGCCTTCCCCCAGGAGCTGGAGGCCTCAGAGTTCTCACCCAATCCCATTCTGATTACTTTTCGCACATTGCAACAGTGTCGCTACAGCGCAGCTACTCTGGCTTTGTCAAAGTTTGCGCGCGCACTTCCAAAGCACGTTTTAGGTGCCCGCCAAGGCAAACTCATTTTGAGATGGTTCTTGCTAGGAGGGAAAAAAGCACGTAAAACAAGTGACTTACCGGTGTTATTTGGGTATGCAGCTCGGAAATTGAGGCACGCCCGGGATTCAGTTGCGCGTTCGTGGCACCGGCTCAGAGACCTTAGGTTGTCTCCAGCGAGCGCAAGGGGCACCCGCCGTCCAACAAGCCTGTGGCCTCCGGGGCGCCCCTGCCTCCCTGGGGAAATCTGGGGGGCTCCTGCCACCTCACAATGTTAAACCGCCCTTCCCAGGGCTAGCCAGCCATCCCCGCGCATTCTTCCCGCCTTCCTCCCAGCCCATTTTCCTTACCCCCCCGGCCCTCCCGCTTCTCCCCCACTGCCCTCGGGCTCCCCAATTTAGTGGTGGGTAACTAACCTGGATCAAAGAAAACAAGGAGAATCTGGGGCGCGTCCTCCATCAGTGACGCCGGATGGGGATGGGCCCCTTCTTGGAAGGGGACTCCGGAGATGGATCGCGGCGGGCGGACTTCTTGGGTTTGCAGCGGCGCTGCTGCTTCTTCTCTTTGGGAGCCTCGGTCTCTTCGGGGTCCCGCGGATCCTTTTCCTCGGGCTGGGGCTCCTCCCGCTCGGTGGGGTTCTGGGGCTCCTGAGTGCTGGGCTGCGCGCGACTCGGGGAGGCGTCGGGGCTCCGCAATTTGAGCGCGTGCAGACGCTCAGTGAGAGATTGGCCGAAGGTGGGGCGCTTGGGCACCACGGGACCGCGCTCGTCCTCGGGCTCGGTCTCGGGCTCAGTGGCGGGGGCGGTCTCGGGCTCGGTCTCGGGCTCGGTCTCGGACTCTATCTCAGATTCGGTCTCGGTCTCAGTCTCGGACTCGTAGTCGAACTCTTCCTCGTACTCGAGGCACTCGGGGAGGGAGAGGTCGAGGTCGGCCTCCTCGTGCTCGTGGTCAGACTCGGGGGGCTCGGGGAACACCTGGGCGGCGGAGCGGTGGTGGGCGTTAAGGAAGCTCCGGCGCTGCTGGGCCGCCGCGCGCTGCTGGGCGCGGGCGTTGGAGGTGGCAAGGGCGCGGAGGAGCGCGATGGAGCAGGAGAGCCAGAGGAGCGCGGTGGCGGCCCGGCGGCCTATGGGCGGGCACAGATCGTTATAATTGTGGCGAGCTCGGCGCCACTGCTGAGCCCGGGACCTCCGATCCATCCTCAGGCGCACACCGAGAAGCCGACCTGCTCCCTGGCTCTGCAGAGAGCGGCTCCGATGCGTGTGGGGAAGGTGCACCTTCCGAGTTGAGAAGCTGGGTCCGGAGATCCCAGCCTCACCTCGGCCCGAAGGCAAAAAGGAAGCACCTACCTTCCGTGGACTTAGCAAGAACTTTCTAAAGCTCCGCGCCTCTGCCTGCCTCTGAATCAAAAGGAAGGCTGGGGGAGAGGGAGAAGTCTCCTGCTAGATTCCTCTCGCTAAGTCTCAGACTTCGCAGTCTGAGACTCTGGAGAGAGGACTGCGCTGCTCCTCTCTCCTAGGAGAGGAAAGAGGAGACTGAGGCGAGGAGGGACGGGCGCAGAGGCTCAGCAAAGTTGCGCGCCCCGACTTCTGCCGGGCATGTGCAGTACGGAGGAGGGGGCCCCCTCCTCGCGAGCGGCGCCGTGGCGCTGAGTCTGTGGTGCAGACCCTGGTGGGCCGCCAGGTGGCAGGAGGGAACCTTGTTTGAAAGGATTTGGGGCAAACGGGGGACTGGGGACTAGGAGCTGGCAATGATAGTCCAACAAGCTAGCTACAGGTTAGTATCCTTGGACATCTGGACGTAGGTCCCTCTAGGGTGCCTCCCCCTCCCCAACTTCTCTAGGGTGATGAATACAACGAGCAAAGCCTGAAACCTTTCAGAACCGGACCTCAAGGTTGCAGATATTCAAGGGGATGAAGACTCCGGCTCGTGGCACTTTCCCGAGGACTTAGCAGTTGGAGGTTAGTAACCTCAAGCTTTGGCTTTGGCTGACCTGTTACCAAGACTCTACTTAGCGAAGTTTCCAGAAAACGCCACCACCACCACCACCACCACTACCACTGTCTCAATTGGCTGGATGGCTTCATGGCCACATAAGCATGTTCCTCAAGAAGTACTAGTACAGACCAGGTCATGGGAGGCTGTGGCAATCTGTTGGTTGTTAGATCACCGTGAGCTACTTCCACTGTTGGAAGACAGACTTATTAGCTGGAATTGGTAGTCAGAAGGCTCCTCAGCAAAACTACCCCCAGCCCCCACCCCTTTCCCCAGCTGATACTCAGTATATACAGCCAGCTGTCTCCTAAGGATGGCCGGTTAGCAATCTCTTCCATAGGCTTTCCAACAAAGTTAATTCATAACTAGGTATGCAGTGCCTGCCATTGGCCAAGTTCTGTTCTAGGAACTAAAGGGACAGTTGTTGTTGTTGTTGTTAAGTGCCTTCGAGTCGGAGTCGACCCATAGCGACCCTGTACAGGGTTTCCGAGGGTGTAAATCCTTACGGGAGTAGAAAGCCTCATCTTTCTCCCGCGGAGCGGCTGGTAGTTTCGAACCACTGACCTTAAAGTTCGCAGCCCGATTCGTAACCACTACGCTACCAGAGAGGATTCTTAAGGCTCAAATCTGTCATTCTTCAGAACATCACTTATTCAGCTTGAGTTCCACCTGAGAAAACAATTGGGTCAACCCAGGCCCTGACCAGACATCATTAAGTCATCTTACTGAACCTATAGGAGACAGAAGAGTTGGAGTAAATGAATACAATCAAAGGAGCTCTGTGCCCTTACTAGGATGATCCTGGCTCTGGAAAGGACAGTATTTGAGAAACTCTTGAGGTCCTTCTGGAATCTGACTGCTGCCTTTTGGTTGTACATGTTTCCAGAATCATAATCACCTGTTAAAATATGGAAAGCCCCTCCCTCTGCCGTCGAGTCCGTTCCGATCCATAGCGATCCTATATAGGGTTTCCTAGGGTTTCCGAAGAGCTGGTGAGCTTGAACCTCCGTGCCGACCTTGCAGTTCAAACAGCTCTGCAGTCTGGCGCATTAACCCACAGCGCCACACTGGGACTCTTCAGTCAGTATTGTTGTTGTTGTTATGTGCTGTGGAGTCATTTCCAACTCCACGTACAGGGTTTCCAGGCTGTAAATCTTTACGGGGGCAGAAAGCCTCATCTTTCTCCCATGGAACAGCTGGTAGTTTCGAACTGCTGACCTTGCTGTTCGCAGCCCAATTCGTAACCACTACGCTACCAGAGCTCCTTCAGTCAGTGTAGAGAGACTGAAAATAGAGGCTCTTCTAATCTTTTGACTTCCCTCTTAGAGGGTGATCCTGGAGCCTAGTGGCTGAATTGGACATGTGTCTGATTCTGTTAGCAAATGTGGAGGGGCTGGACCCCGATCCCTTGCTTTCAGATCTAAGCAGACAAATGCAGAGGCAAATTCGTCCTCAGATTCTAGTGGTTGCTTTTGAGATGTTGAGGTTTTGTTTCTGCATTTGGGCTATGGGTGTTCTTCCATGTTCCTGGTCTGGCTCCTTGGCCATACCTCTCCAGTGTCTGGTGTTCTGCAAGTTCGTTTGAAGCCATCTAGAGATACCGAGTGATCTAATAAAGTGAGATTGGTCGGAGAAACCCCTGAGAGGACCCACTTTTCTGTTTCGGTTTGCTGCATACTCTAATACTTGCCAGAGAAGCCTGTTACACAAGCTCTAAGACACCAGTCATTGTGTGGATGTTGTTGTAGGACACCACACAGCAGTGTTGGGAGCTGTGGGGGTACCTTTCATCCCCCACTGACAGGGGACGTCGGATAGGAAAGATTCTGTTCATGTGACCCTCCCTGCCATATGCCTTCCAATTAGCACAGCCTCACTGAAAGTTTACAGTGTAAAGATGTTGTTCAAGTGGATTTCAGGGCACATTGGGGGGGAGATATGGGGAGTACCTGGGTGCTGGTAAATGCACTTTCAATAGAAATTCATGCCAGATACCAATGCAGTTGCTTATGCCTCTTGGGCATCCAGAAGAAATTCCTTGGTTCTCCAGATAGAGTGCTTCTGCCTGTAAAGGAGATGGCTGTATAGAGCCAATTCTTTAATACAGATACACGGAGATCATCTGCATTGTTTTTTAAAAAAAAAGAGTGCATTACATAATACATATTTTTGGACTAGATTCTGCATTCGTAATGCCCTTTCTTTGTAAGATGCATTTTAATCAGCCAACGGGCATTTCAAAACAAACAAACGAAAACCAGAAGCATTGCATTTGCCAGCCCTGTCGCGATACAAACACTTCAGTGAGGCTGTTCAGTCCAGACTCCAGGAGGCGCGGTCGGCATTCGCTGAAACGCTGTATCGTCTCACAGTTAAAGCTGAGGTCAAGCAAATGGATCTGTGCAGAAAACGCTCTTTAAAATGCATTACGTGCGTGAGTTTAAAAAGTGCTCACTGCAGAGCGAATTTCAACAAGGGGCAGGCTGGTGATGAACGGCCTCGGGTGTTACAAGGCTCCGGAACAAGGGGCTCTGTCTGTCTGCCGGTAAATAAGGTAAATAAAGCGTGGTCATATATCACCTTCGGGGCTCTGCCGAAGGGAGGCTCCAAAACCTGTTGGACTTTCAGGAAAGCACCATTTCTAGTTCATTTCAGTATCATACAATATGGTTCTTATTTGAATGGATTGTGAAGAATATTGTCTTCAGACCCTTAAAGAACCGTCATGTGGAAGAGGCTTTAAGATTTATGTGAGGTGGCCAGGACTCATGGGTTGTGGTGACAACAGGGTGCCCAGTCCAGCCCAAGGATGAGTATTCGGACAATTAGGAATCAAACATAATTGGCCATCGGGTGGTTATTGACTGTCAGCAGTGCTGTGAAATCAAAGGACAGGTGACCAAATATTGGAGATGTTTTCCATATTCATGAGCTGAGTAGGGTTGGAGCTCCCAGGCCAGCCCAAAAAAAAAAGTCTTTTCCACTCAGATTCCATGAACGGCACCTGGTGGATGTGGAAGAGGGGCTGGGGGCTTGACTGATGGGCAGTCTTCTGACTCCACTTCTATTTTGGAAGTGTTTGACAGCATAAGTGGCTTCGGTGACAGGGTAACGGTTTGGAGACACAGGCAGACAGGCGGCGGAGGCTAGCCCTGCTCTAAGGTGGTGGTTTTCGTCAGCAGGTCGGCAGGGCTCTGAGCCACTTGACTCTCCAGCTCACTTGTTGAAGCAAAGACATTAGGCCAGTCCATCTATTAATCACATCGATCCTTTATGCCTCTCCTCCTGGAGCGGTCTCGGAAATTAAAAATGAAATCGACTATTTAGCAATCACACACTGAGTCACTCGTGTGACCAAGACACTGTTCTGGCATTACAAGGAGAACAGAGACACTGGGGCTGTCTTCTCCCAATGTTCATCTCCAAGAGCAGACCACCAACGTGTGCAAAACAAGTACGCCCACACCAACTGCTGGAGCAGGAGAGGGAAGCTGGGTGACAACCATGAGAATCAGCCGGGGCAGAATCCATCGGGTGGTGTGTTGAAAGAGGTGGGTCTTTCCCCGATTGAGATCTCCCTTTGATTTTCATGAGACCACGGGAGGCTCATCTCGCACCTGCCTGTCCCTGTGCACCTAGCGTGCCCTAGACCCTGTACTGACTGCCCCGGAGGGAGACGCAGCTGAATAACTTGGCATTGGTGGGTTTGAACCACCGACTTTGTGATTTACAGTCCAGTGCTTATCCTGCAGTGCCACACCAGGAGTCCAGTCACTGAGAAGGACTATTTTGGGGAGTAGAGAGCTTCTGAAACTGTCCTTTGGGACTAAATGAATTCAGCAAGGTGGAGGTGTTCCCTGTTCCTCGCTGTGGCAATCAGTCAGACAGGCTCACCCCCATCCCCAAGGCCATGTGGCTCCTTCCTCGAGGGTACTGGATTGCTGCCAGTCAGACTCAACGAGTCCTTTGGGCTCTCACTGGGGGGAATGTTCTAGAACTGAAAGCAAGCTGAAATAACTCATGGTGTTTAGATACGGCTGGACTTTGCCCAGGTCATGCTGGGGGTTGCAGTACCTTACAGTGAGAAAGGCCCAGAGAGGAACAGGATTCTTTAAGGAGCTGGACTCCTACCTTGCACCCCATTGAGCTGCTTCTACCCACCCACCTCTGCCAGGGGAGGACCTACTAATAAGCTCCTGGTGCC